ATCATAGACAATGATGTTATATCATAGACAATGACGTTATGTCATGGGTTAGGACGTTGTATCCTAGGCAAGGACGTTATATCATAGGCAAGGACGTTATATCATAGACAATGACGTTATATCTTTGTTTGATGACCAACCCAAGCGCAAAAGCTAACAGTGCAAATAGAGTGGTTAAAAGAAGTCCCCTCCGTAAGGAATCAAGCTTTATCGTTTATGATTTTAACACTCTATATAGCGTCTCTCGATTATCGGATACGTTTAGCAGACCCCGATAAAGAGATGAACATTTGTATTACAGATAACCAAGGAGCGCTGTATACTGATAAGCTAACGCAAGCCAATACTTATATTATTATGTCGGCTGTCACCAAAATCTACCATACCTATATATAGGTGTAAATATATAATCAAGCATTGGGATAAAGTTTTAGCAGTACATTGTAAACCTATAATGACACTTCTATAAATTGTGACTGAGATCGTACACGAACTTCTGTCTACATTTGTCAGGAGAGTCTTCATCACCTACAACAGTAGTGCATGCGCGTTATTTGCAGGTTTTATCTGATAATGAAATAATATCTTGTGTTATTTCACGATTTACAGCACATAACTATGTTATCGTAAATGCTGGCAAGAGGTTGACTTACCTGTTAGTAGATATTTGCTGGTGTATTGTTTGCACTGCTATGCATTCCTCTCTGTAAACTGGAGCAATGGCGAGCTAGAGGTGAGGTTATCTGAGGTGATATGTTGACCTTGACAGAGCTAGATAATCTTGTTATTCAGACATTATAAACCAGTTGTACCTATTTACACGGGATCCTTATGTTTAGAAGGCACGTTGCCAAGATACTTCATACCACCAAGACTGAATTTAAAGGATATTATACATATAACTATTAAAAAAAATACATTGCACTGAAAATAGCAATGACATTTGCAACATTTAGAAGTTCTATATTTACTATGTAAACCTGCTATCTCCTACCTGTAACCTATCTTATGCAGAGTGTATGCGCTCTAACGTTGCGACACATTAAATACATACATCGTGTGTGTGTAAAGGAAACTTTCGATACTATCTGTTGGTCACTCTAAGGCACATACAGGACTGTGATCAGCATGAAAAGGATATAGGAAACTTTCTTACTTGATACAGTGTATAAACATGACTAAGTTTATTTCAGATGTAAACATTATGTCCACAGAGATGAAAAGCATATGGCATGGCAATAAATCCCAAATATAAAGATATAACAATAACAGGACATGGTATTGTAGAAGTTGAGCCTTGGTAGAATAAGGAGGGATTTTTATGTTGGGATCTTGTTAAGGTCCAACTTAAATACACTGAGTATTGAATTGTGGAAACGATTGAGTTTCTGATTGACAACATAGAGTTTGGTGGGAAGACTTTCCAACAGACTATGGAAACAATCTGAGCCTTCCCGACGATTTGATTTTGTTTTAATATGTAGTTAATGTATCGTTGAACTTGTGTTGACTGGTAACAAAAACCTTACCAAGACCTTTAATATCGGAAATGTATAGAGCGTCAGAAGCAATCACCTGCTTCTAATGAGAATTCCAGGGGCAGCTCTGTGTAACTACTAATTTCCAAATGGTAACAGTTTCAAAAAAGGAGGGTTTCCATACGCATTGCTTAAAAAACAGGTGCCATCTAACTGGATTGGATATACATTTTAAATTGCTTAATTGGCAAGGGAAAAAACCAAGACGTTTGTTGAAAACATTAATGATTAAATATAATACGACTTTTGAACAAATCAACGTATGTAACAAAGCGGTGTGACATGTTTATCCACGACAACGAAAAAGGAAACCAGTGCAGTGTCTCAAGAACCAAAAAGGGGGTCCTGCATTGTTTTCGCGTATATCAGGTTATTATGCAACGATGAGATTAGAAGATGTAATTAAAGAACCAATACTGAAAGCAACAAGTTGACCCGATATTTTCTGCCAGTGTTTCATATTTCTTATTCAAAACTGCCTTCATCTTCACCAAAACTGAGAATAGTGAAGCAGGACTTACTCAGATCTGTCCCTTCCATATATCATGTTAACAGTATAACACCGCTTAATAGACAAAGCTTTGTGAATAATGTTAACTTAAATAGATATTTTCCTAGTGGTGAATTTCGACGGAGGTGTTTCTTTCTGGTATAATACAGTATTTAAGATTTTGAGAAATAAAAACAGACTGTGTATCAATTTAATATGGGTAAAATACAAAGAATGAAAAGACTTCATCAAATAGCATATATCTGTTTTAATACATGACTGGATAATAACTTAGACAATAACATATTTATAAACGATTTTATTTCGTGTTATATAATTGTTATAACATTTGATAAAATTAAAAAAACAACTTATATGTCTAAACAGTCATTTTGTATAATTTTCAAACTAAATTAAAATTGTATCTGCCATATTGAACAAAAGAAACCTCAGTGATGAGCTAATTTACGTGCATGCACATCCAATACTGACTCCGTGCTTCTTTTTTGTATTTTTCCGTTTTACAAAAGAGATTATAAGAATATCAGGACTTTTGCAGACGTGTTGTTGTTGATATTTGAGGTGAACTAGAATGTTTCTTCTCACTTGGAGCAATTGTAAAAATAAACATCAAAAGCTGGTGATGGAGATAACGGGATATTTCACTGTTTTATATTAAAAATAATCACCTTTCAGTCAGATGAGACAAAATATGTTTTTTTTTACAACCAAATTGTTTTCAGTGATATACCAATGTAACTTAGTAAGTTTAACATTAATTTCAGTACAAAATTAATATGTTATATGTCCTTTATCAAAAATACATTTCCTAAGAGGTGTCTTATAAACATATTTAAATATAGTAAATTTTATTTTTTCTTCAGATAAAAGAGGACGCCAGTGGCAGCTGCTAGTGCAGAAGACAACCCCAAAGAAGACAGGAAAGTTGGCACCGATGGAGCGTGTCTCTCCCAGAACGTTGACTTGAATGGCCGGCTCTTAACATGCTACAACATATTAGAAATATCTACACAGACACCATAAATCTAAAATGATCAAATATATACATGGGGAACTGGAGTAAGGGTACAGGGGATTGGAACAAAGTTATCTAAGCTGCAAAATATATTAGTTTGCTGTTTGAAATTGGCCTTTTCCCCTCAATGCTTAACGTTACATGTAAAGGGCATTGGACACCAAGATGTTTGTTTCTATTTTCAGTTTGCCTTCTGTGAAATGCAAAGGCGGCAGGAGAACAATGTATTTGCTGATCTCCATAATGTTTACGAATTATTTTAATTTCGCACCAAGTCAATAATAAATCCTGACATTATTATTTCTGATGTAAGGACTAAAAGTAAACAAAGGTAGATAACCTATGTATGACATTAAATTGAGTTAGATGTTCAGCATTTTGTTATCATGGATGCTGTTATCTAGATGAAGATTTGAATTGCAAATGTACTTTATATTGTTGATATAACTAAAATACGTTAAACCCTATCGTTAGATACCTGGTTTTCAGGTTCTTCCTGCCATATTTTACTCTGACAAATCCGTTCCTCGGCAAAGAGTATCTGCAAAGCATGGAAATATATGTAGCAGGTTATTATGATGAAGCAGGGATGCATCGCTACTTCCAACAATATCATGTTTCTATTCAAATATGTTGTGTGTATAGCACTCTGGGATCTTCTTACAAACGTTTATAATACAGAAGGATATCATAACAACTAGTTATACGATATAACAAGTACGATACATTGAATCTTTACTAATCTTACTTTTACAAATTTGCTAAATTTTATGTGTTTTTTTTATCATAATGCAGTTATGTTAAAAGACACTCCTTCGAAAGGTGTAAAGACACTGAAGGGTTCTGTTGTATAAAAACATTTGTAAATCAAAACGGTATTATGTTCTGGTTTATTTTACCAAAATTTACCTTGACTTTATCCCTCTCTACATACAAAACTATCGTACTTAATTATGTTCACACATGTAAAGTGTTAAAGCAAATAGTTTATCGGAGCTCCAGTTTTTTTCGGGAAAGTATTGTTAAGACAGACAGGTCGACTGTGTTTAACCTTTAAATGCGAGGTCCTATCAATCTGGGTATTTGACTCTTACCTTGAACACCTTATCTATTCATAACTTACCTGGTAACTGTGATAACGGCTTTTTACCTGTAATCTAGTCGTGCAACAATGTTTAATGGATAGACATATGTAGCACTGTACCTAACCAGCATGCTTCCTCTAAACAGTTGAGATTCCACTCCGATGCCATTAGAGAGTTCGTGCCCTCACTTCATTTATACAACAAAGTTGATGTTCCATATACAAAACATCTATTCAGATATGTTTAAGTAGAAGGTATTTCAAATTGTAATTAAGTTGCGATTTGATAGAGTTGCATTTTATTTCATAAAAGAAAAATCGGCAGTCAGATGCTATAAACGCCGTCAAGGCACAATATGTATATGTTATCGTAAAATATTTAATACTAACCTCCCTTGCCGCACGCTCTCCTGCTTGTATTGCTCCTTCCATATAACCTGACCATTGGGTGGCAGTCTCTGTCCCAGCAAAATATAATTTACCCACTGGCCGTCTTAACTCCCTACAAACAAATATAAAGTTCTCAATTCATTTGTTGCGAAATAATACTGAGTAACGCGTAACGCGATAAGAAGATGTTCTCGGCCAGTTATCAACTGCCAACACCTCTTTAAAGCTTACCAGTAAAGAAACCTTTAAAGAAGAGCCGGTAGAATGTACTGGTTTAAACAATTACCTGACCACCGAAAATATCCAAATACCCCTATCACGTTTACCTTCGATTCTGGGTAGGGAGACATCTAGTTTGTGACGTCCTTGAACTGGTCATATCCAATACCTCCATAGTGCCTACCTACCAAACAATGACAGATGAAATGGTCGCACCAGTATGCAGTACAAACCGCGGACAACTACCAACGTGAAAGTATCACAAACGTGCTTACCTGCCAAACTTGGTGAGGAAACCTGGTGGCAGCATAACGGTGTAGCATCCCCCAGACCACTGTTCTTCCATCCAGTTCTTCTCCTCATAATGCACTGGCTGTAAAATATAGTTCAACATGCTAAGCACAATGTTTAACACTAAAATTCGTTAAAACATGTTGACATGTGACTTCATGTTTTTTTTTACCTTCAGTTGTGACTTTGACATCTATATTTATAACATTGCGCTATTCTTTCAGCGGAGTTTGTTGGTATATTGCAATGATTGTAAAAGTAAACAGTTCAAAACATTTTAGATATTAAATCTTTAACTAAAGTATTTAAAACAGAATGAACTCTTTCAAATACTCAAGGCTGACAAGTTAGAAAAAAAATAACAGTTTAAAGTGTACAGAAACTGCTAAAAATAATTTATAGATTAGCCTTCCAAGCATGACATATACCAATCAGTTAAGTTAATTATTCATGGAAGTTTCTAAACATCAAAATCAATATAATATATTTAACACATACATAATCAAAACTATCACTCACATGCAAGGCCTCTTGTGATTGGAAGACATTAGAATAGAGTTCACTAATTCGTTGTTTTCTTTCATCTTTAGTCAGTTTACATAACGTTCTGGCTTTGTCGGCTAAAATGAATCTGCAAAGATGTTTTGATAAATTATAAATGTCCATTATTTCAAAAAATCGATCTATGATGTTATAACTGTGCACTCAAAGAACTATAAACGAGAGGAGAATCATACATTTATAATAGTTTCTATCTCCCATAATATTCGACACACCGCCTATTGACCTTGGCCTTTCACATTCAATGTAATCAGAATGGTTTCGGAATATATGTTAATTTATGATAGATTCAACATTATGCTTAGTATAATAAATCGCTGACAAAATAGAACAATCTTATTCTCAAATTAGACAGAAATTATCATTTTTTAATGGTTAGAGAATAACAAATATTCTAAATCCAGTTCAAGGGGTCTTACCCCATAAGTCCAGGTAAGCCCTTGTTGTCCGGTTTAACGTCATCCAAAGTAAAACCAATAATGGCTCCATCGTCGTCTATGGCTGCCGACCCACAAAACCCTGCAATATTGATAATAGTTAGGAAAATACCAATGAGATAAAAATGATAAGACAAAAGCGCGTCATCATTCCTCCGACATATTGTTGAAACGAAAGTTGCAACGAAACGATACTTACCAACGTTATACAAAGTACAATGCAGGAATGGATTTTTAATACAATCCACCAGTCAGTTGATATTTTTTTATTCAATACCCCTGTGTCGGAGTTATTGTTAATATATTTGAGAACACTCCGTAAATGCACATGAATTAACTCATTGGACAGTCGATAACCTCTGGTATGTCATTTTTGTTATCTTAGCTGTAAGTCGTTATAAGAAAATCATCTATATAATAGAGTACCTTTGCAAACAGTTATCAAATTTCTGGAAATATAGAGTGTAGGTAATTGTGTTATTACACTGTATTATCTCTATAATTTCTCGAATGAAAAACTCCATTTTTGTCAAGTTTTCTTTTCAGTGCGATAGCAGAATGAGACGCAGCAGACTTCATTTTTTTGTCAGTATTCAATATTCAATTTAGTATTCCATACAAAGACTGATTCTGCATTTACAATATTGGTCAGCTCAAAACGGTTCACGTATTTAATGAGTTATGTAACCCCTTCAAGTTTGTGCCGGGGAAAAAAGGGGCGCACTAGCTCGACAGCTCGAAAACAAATGAAGTGCGTACATTACGTTATTACTTATTTACGTATATACTAATATAAGCTAAGTGTTCTATCAAAGAAAGGTTCTCTCAATTATCTGATACCTTAAGACAGGTTTCATCGTACAGGTGGTTATATCAAGTCAAACCCTCGATCAACGTCTGTTGTAATATCTCCTTTAATGTAGCACCTTTGTAAAATAACATGGTCAAATCTCGCAATGCAATTGTTATAGCCTCACAAAAACATTTGTCATCATTTAGTATTTCAAGACAGACATAAATCTCCTAACTAATGTCTTTAAATTAGAAAGGTTGATTGACATTACCCTTTTCTCTCCAGAAGGGAGTTTTGTAATAGAGAAATGTTTTGATGACAGATCCCATTGGGACCCTCTGTATGAGCTGATTACGTAGACAGGGTAGAGGCGGCTCATACGTAATCCTATTTTGGAGAGGAAGAGGTGTGGCTACTATCACATATTTTCCCTGTGTGAGAAAAAACACCTGGTTAGATCTTTCTTATTTCTATATACATTAATCGAGAAATTTCTTATTCTATTTGATAGTTTTTTTCTCATCGAGTAGATTGAATACTTGACAATCTTTACAATATGATCGCATTAAAGTTATCCATATCGCCACCTGCAATAGAACTGATTTGGAGAAGAGTGGATACTTTATTATCGCATTGTCCGTACTGATTAGAATTTGGAAAAGCTCCACACTGTAACAACAAAATGTATGTGTACGTACAGAATATATGATCACGTATATACGTTTCCGAACATACATTGTACACGTACTTCATTGTATATACAATCAGGTACATTGTATCAGGAATTTCAACAATATTACGTCATGGTTTTTAATACAACAAATAAAGATATTCCCTAATGTACGTTAATATTTACATACATGTTTATATATATATTCAACATATACCATAATACAAAGTATGTTGCAGCAAATTGTTCTGAGTATCAAGCTCCATATCTTATGGTAATCAGTCACCTCACAGCAAACAATGAATAAGTATGTAGTAACCCATTATGGTTACCGTGGATACCTCTAAATCGACAAACTAAGAAGATGCAGTACCTGATAATGGTTACCATGGATATCAGTGACCTTCACTCCATTTGTATCCTGGGATATGCTACAAACAGGGTGGTTCAGTAATACTTTATCTACAAGAAAAAAGCAAACACTGAAATACGATAAAGGCGGACGGGGATAAGGATGCATGTTTTGTATATTAAATAACATGTATACATGATATGTTACGGTAAAACTGTTGGTATTCCTGTGGACTGCCATTCTATTGAATTAACTTACAGGATTGGTAGCAATAAAATTACCTTACCAAGTTTTTTTCAATTTCACTTTCGGATACATATCAACATCGGGATGAAGAAGATTTTGTTGTCAAGGTCATGACCTCATTATGAAAGAATCCGTTCGTGATGTGAGGGTTTTATTATAAATTATTATGCTAATTGGTATACTGTGTTTAACATTATACAGGTTGTGAATGGCTTCTTCTGCTCGTGTATATTTTGTCAAAGAAAACTCCAGCCGGAGTTTAAATGGACTAATTATCCTTTTCCTATTAACAACAATGCCCAAATAATCACACCATGCTACATGTATTTAGACGTTTTGTTGAGAGAGATAAGGGTGACTGGATTATCAATTCTCCTTTATATTAAAAAGTTATTGTGTTTAATCAGAAGTTACTTAATTTTAATATGAAACATTATTCAATTCTTTAGTCTTTAAATAATTAAATTAATAAATATAATGATTTATTTTTTTACCTTTTCCAAGTTTCTCCGCAATACGTACACTGATTTGCTGGGATCCACCGATAAATTTCCTTTCCTAAAAACAGACACAATCCCAGTAAGGTGTTTGTTATAAATCCATAGAAAACGTGAACGAAAGCCGCGTTGATATAAGCAGGTAGAAAACAAATTAAATGGGTCTTGAGATTGGAAAGGGGGAGCATACACTAAATAGTGAAGTGAAGGAGATATAGCGTTTCGCTAGCCCTATTTAAATCTTCTAAGCTATATTTTAGACGTGTTTTAGATGACCACAAAGACCCTAAGTGTCATAATTGAAAAGAATAGATTTGATTTTTGAGACAAAAAACATAGTAATGCCTTATATGTGTCTGATCTTCATTTTCTGTCTGTATGTAAAGACTAACAAATTATGTTTTACTTGTTTCTTGTGTAGCCAGACAGATATCAATAACAACATTTAATTATGTTTTATTGTACAGCATTGTGACACGGGAACACGGCAGTATCACATGTTGGTATTATGTAATATCTTATTTTTTAAATGTGATAAATAATGACTTGAATCTGATTTAAGCCGGCTGCCGAATAGCTTATCTCAATCAAGTCATATATCTGTTGCATAGATTCTATACAACTGTCAAGAGGTTGACCTAACCAATTGACCTCCTGTGCTATAGTCCGCCTATCTGCCCGACTGATATACATAATATCGACGAGTCCGAGAGAGATACTGATACTACGTGTTATTTAAAACTTCCTGCTCGTATACAACTAGTCTAAACCACCTCTTGGTACGTACACATGGAAACAGAATAACAATGATACTCTCTTTCGAACGAAATGAGTTATAACAAGGGGCATTGGTGTCTGTGTAGTGTGTCAATTCCACTTGTTGACTCACGACCTTACAATCTACATTTAGATCTATCAAAATTTCAATTCCATCATAAGTTCCAACTGTCTCGTCGATTATCGTGTCTTCCTTTAGTTTTCGCTTTCACATTTTAGTAAAACAATAAAAGTACAAGATGCGAAACACTTTTGACAAATCTCCCCTTGTCTAAATTAAGTATTACTTTGTACAGTGTATGTAAGTAAATTCATCAAGCAAATTTAATACCGTTGACATTGCTTGTCAATTGTAACTGTACGTCATAATTTTTAAAATGTAAGTCTTTTTCCGGTATATTATGAATGATGTGTTTTATTGAGGTACAATGGTGTCAGTGTAGTGTGTTATGTCAGATGTTCTAATTATACATTTTTACAGGTGGTCGATTCCTCGTTGTTTTATTTGTTGTATGCTTTGCTTTATACACACACTATTATGTTATTTATTGGTGTACAGATGATATTGTAATGGATGAAAAAACAATGTAATGAATTTTAAAGTATTGTGATAAATTGTGTACAAATATAATGTTAATATCAGGTGGACTTAATTTGAAAGAGGATGTGAAAAGTAGTCATTCGCCAAAATGAAGTTTCACATTTTGCCTGACGAATACGAAATATAAACTTTGACAGAGACAGAGATGAAACCTATTTACTTGTCCCCAGTGTATGAGGTGACTTGGGACAATAAGATAAGTGGCACAAGGTTGGAACATTATATAGTGACCTGGGCACCATTAGGTGACGATTGTATTCTATCAGATCCGCCACAGATGGAAGTGTACCAAAGAAACCAGAGTAACGAACATTCGTACGGCTCACTGCTCACATTAACACGCACATAGTCAACGGCCTGGCGATACACCTCTCTGTAAAACAGCACCAAAACAAAAGCTTTAGTCAAATACCGGGAAAAACGTCAACCACACTTTGGTCAAAAACATTTGCTGTAAAACCATCATAGAAATATAGATAATAGCCATCAAATATGTGAAATAACCAACAAATCAATGCTGTTCTGTAAAACATCACCGGAAACAAGTATCAAATTACACAAAGCAAATACCTGAGGTGATACCAGTCTGTAAAACATCACCAAAGCACAGTCTTAAACCTATACCTTTCTGTTAATTATCACCAGCTTACATACTTAATTCTATATTTCTCTTAAAACCCAGAAGACAGACAGAAGTCAATAACTTTCTTTAAAACCAGAATCACACTCAGTACAATTATTCAAATTATTCAAATAACACTCACCAGCACAATGACACAGATTTTAGAAAGTACCTCTATTCAACAGTTTAATAACACAGATTTTAGTCAATACCTTTAGGATAAGCATCCAAATTACATTCTTTGGTAAATACTTATTTGGATAACGTCTAAGTAACAAAAAACGTTATTAAATATTTCCCATTTGTCCCCACACTTAGTCGTTCTCCCCGCTACTTAACATTACATACTTTAGTCTTAACCTCTGTTTTAATATTTCTTTTCACACAGACTGTAGTCATTTACTCTCAGTAAATCAATTTCACGCGACTTAAGCGATCAAGAGGTCCAAATGGCGATCGGCACTCATATGTTGATGATTTGTTTTCGATTTCTACAATTACATAAAAATTAAGTTTTCCGCGTACTTATGAGCTATTTGGAGTGATATCATTTTAATACGCTTTAATTGTCCAATACCATACACAAATTACATTTAGTTTTGATATACTTAAACTTTGTTCTTCCAAATGTTACTTTATTTCTTGACTATTTTCAAGCTTGTTGTTGCTCATTAGGAGTTCTCGAGAGTTTGGTTTAGGTTAATTTTGTGTAATGTCCTATTAACAGCTAAGGTCATTTAAGGACGTGCCTCCATGTGTGTTGTGTGTGCCTGCTTGCGTGTGTGTATGTAGGAAACAGGGTAAGTTGGTGTGCTTGCCTCCTTTTGATATCGCGTATCTGATGCCGACTTTATAGTGCTATCTCACTGAAATACCATCCCGGACACATTATACTGACAACGAGTGAACCAGTTGTTGCCATTTCTTTAAATGCCGAACATAAAGCATTGAATAACAACTACCATTTTTAAGAACTTTGGTATGTCCCGGACTGGGGACAGAACCCATTGCCTAATCAGACTAAGTATTTGTAAACATTGTTATTATGGACACCTGATTTACAATAATCACTGAAAAATAATAACGCTGCTTAAAACCAATTTTATTCATTTAGTCAATTAAAGTTGTCCACCGCCTGCCAATATATGAATGGGTTAATGAGAAGCAATTGTCTAGTATATGTATGAAGCAAGAATGTTATTTATGCTCTGCCATATTGTTCAACCACTTCGCCATGGAATACCCCTATTTAAATATTTATATATATGTGTGTGTATATTTGCATATCCACGTAACATAGTAAATCATGGGCGCTACGATTTTGTCTGTTCATTGGGATGGAGACGTAATGTATTCACAACTTTCTATTAGATCAACACATTGGCGTCACTTGTACACTTGTTATGAAGTCTATGATAAAAAACAAAATTGAACTATTTGTTTTTATATAAATGACTAAAATGTCTGGAAAATGGAGGTAACACGTGAGTGTTTGAACCATTTATGTAATTCAGGTAATTTTGTAGTTGGCAACTCAACTGGCAGTATATTAATAACTCATTTTTATTTGATGAAAGTGAAGAGAACGGTTTCAGTAAATATTTTATCTACAAATTTCTGCAGTGATGGTCGTAAAAATAAACAAACCGACAATTTAAATGCTTCTATTTGTTTTATATAAGAATATGCTTGCATATTTTAACTTTTTAAATAACTTTTTTAACTATTTCAGAGGACATCAATGGATATACAACAGAAAAGACTTATAAATAGGTTTAAAGCATTGCATAATTATAGTATAGCACAATAATATACAATGCATGAACTAAAAACGAAACCAAAAAGTCCTGACATCCATTACAGTAATTTAACCCTGCTTGGCCACATGCATAATAAGCTTTTTGAAATATTAACAGTCTATGAATAATATTGATCGTCAGCACTGTGTTAAGTAAGGTATTGTCTAGGGTTTAAGATGGGAAAGTGTGAGTTCATATTTCAAAAGGGGAAAAAAAGAAATGAAAACATTGGATAATATCATTTAAGTTAACACTAAAAGTCTCAACACTTTTGAGATTTGGTTCACATTTTATCAAAGGTTAAAGGGAAGGGTGAAATAACAAATGTGTTAAAGAAGAGACCTGGCCTCCATTCGTTGTTGAAAATATTCGATCCAATCCTCCGCACTGTTTCACATACCAAAGAAACCAGAGTAAAGAACACTCATAGGGTTCAGAGGTCACATTCACATTGACGAACTTTGTGGCAAAAGTCATGACATCCCTGTGAACATCAATAAAATCAAGAGACATGGAGGGAGACTTTATAAACAATACTGCCATACTGCACTGCTTCAATTTGACATGCACAACCCTACATGTTCTTAGGAAAAACAGTTAGCCGCAGTCCTTGACAAATAAATGATAGGATTACAAGTATGCATCCAAAACATGTTTCCTGATAGTTAAACTGAAAGTAAATATAGTGAATTAAGTATGAAAAATAAGTGTGTTTTATATATTTAAAATTTGAAATTTGGATGAATACTTAAATGGCGGGTAAACGAAAAAAAGTCAAAGTTAACATAACATGAAATGCGACTGTTACTTGAGGAAGCTACCGTTTGCTGGAGGAAATTATTGAATTAGAAATGGTGAAGACAATATAAAAGAGTGTTCCTACTTTGTCCAGACGTTTTTGTCGAGGAACTGCTGCATTGTCATGTTGTCCCATTCTTCAGCATGTGGCGCCTTCCAGGGAGCATCAGCTGGAATCTAAAACAAGAGAAAATACTATAAAAATGCATAGCAAAATCTTAAACAGGGGAAATAAGTAAGACAAAAAAAACAGGAAATTTTAAAGCATACAGATAACTAATAGAAACGCTAGGGGTCAAAGACCAAGGCGATAAAATGGGAACCGGAGTAATGACACCGAAAAAACTAGGCTCACCAATGACAATAAGCAAAAAAAGCATCTACTGTATATTGAGTAAGATAAAAGAATATCGCACAGTGAAAGCATGATGGCAATCGTAAAACATGTCTTTAATTTTCGAACCACACTGATTAAGCCTTTTTTCCCTGTTTTGCGATCGTAACTGACGAATTCGGCGGGTTGTTCCTTCTTTGGAAGCATGCTTAGATACATCATGTTATTATTGATAATGTGAAAAAAGCGACGTTGAAAGCCTATTGAAAACGCCGGTAGCTGATACATTTGAGTTGTATCTAACTCATGTTAATTTATTTTCAAAATGTATAGCACGAGATGTTAACGGAGTTGCTTACTACTATAATTTGAAAATTAACTAGAGATTTACATGTAAATAAACAGAGTAACCTGCTGTCACAAGTTTTTTGACCTCTTTCTCCAATAACGTTCACTTTATATGCAGAAAACAGTGTTTCTCTCAGAATACATTATAACTGCTCCCTATTTTGGAAACATTTGTCGTGAATTACAATGTCATAATAACAGAGATTTCTACCAACAGAACCCGTAGTTACCTGACGTCAAATGGACCAAGGAAACCATGTTCATTGTGTTACTTATTGGTAGGTGATAAACAAGGCAGATTTATCCAATGAGTGAGGAAACTACTTATAAGTATTTCTGAGGGAAATGTGAACACTTAACCCATTAATAGTACATGTAAAACCATCCATCCATATTGATAATGAAAGCAGCAATATATATTTAATGTATCAATCCTTTCGGCACGATATGATACGAAATAAACTCTTCCCAATAGTTCTAAAACTATCGTAATTTTCACTCTTAACAAATTTATAAAATAATTCGAACGAAAAGAAATATGCATTGTTCAATGCCTGAGAGTTTGAGTTAATCCTGTAACGAACAACTAAAAGCAAAACTTATTGCGTAAATTACACTTTTAGGGACGCCTAATGAAACAACATGATTCACATTGACCTCGCAATAATCTCTGCGAGGTTCCTGTCTATTAACTTAATCTACTAATGACTAGCGCTATTGTATAGATAATTGGTAAATAGTCATGTATACCTCTTCTCCCATCTTGTCCATCTTCCTAAATATATTATTCATGTCTAGGTTGGCCAGAAAGCTGCCCATTGGCGGAAAGGCTTCGCGAAATCGCTTGGACTTCCCCTGTTATAAATAAAGATTATGTTGCATGAATACGTAATTTGGTTCATATTTTAAGCTTTCGCTGAGAAATAAACATAAACTAGAAATATGTCAAAATGACACGAAAGTCACCCCATCTCCTGTATGCTCATTTCTAGTATAATAAATCATTGACCAAGCTACAACTGACATATTTCCAGCTGTCAATCAGCATGGTCTAACAATGACCAGGTGTATATGCATACACGCTGTTAAGGTAAACATGCCAACACATGTAATTAATAAGAAAGCATGTGGTTGTTTTACTTGAAGAAAATGTTCTGTTTTATTACTATTAAACACAAACACTGCAAATAATTTCATTTTATTTTTTTATTTCTGAGACATTCCATGGCCTTCTGCATCCCAATTTCAAGGCCTTCCACGTTTAAACAGGATGTTCCTTGTTGTCAAAGTACAAGGATGAGTTATTTCTTCTGTTGAAATGAAACAAAAATATGATATAAGAGAACTGAACATGCATATTGGGGCAAATCATTTTCACCTAAACCAAAGGCTAATAATTTAGGAATTACCCATCCACATCATTAGTTTGTAATGGTATTGGTGGTTATTTATCTCCAAATTATAAGTTGATAATTCTTAGTAAAAATCATTTGTTGGTAAAAATGTCAATAAAATCACAACCAAGAAAAATTCAATTAACGAATAGAATCTATATATAATTACTGGCAAGTTGTCGTCTCGATCAGAGTGCAAGGACACAATTGAAGTTGTAAAGGTCATTTTAAGTACCCTGGCAATTACATATCTGTTACTGCTTATCAAGAAGAAAGTCGTTGAAAATATCCCGGCTGCGTCCAATGTAAACACACACTTGTGTCTCGTTATTGCCTCGCATCACTTTACGAGATTTATCTACTCTAATCCAATTAATACAACTTTCCCCGACCCTAACTTACCCTGTTGTTCTCCACAGAGCACCACTCGGAACTATACAATGTAGCCATAATTGGAAAATTGGATTTTGATATCAGACGGTGTCGTTGTGTTGACAGGTGACCATTTTGTCAAAACCCAAAAGAGTTCAAATCCCTGACCTTGCCATTCATCGAAAATGCATTCAGCCGTGACATCGTAGTACACAGTGATGTCGGGGCTAAATCTACCTGTAACAATTGCTCTAGAAACAGTTATCGCCAAAGGTTAATCTATGGTCGACAGTAACTTAAATAAAATCCCCTTATCGACATTTTCACCAAGAGTAGTTTCAAATCGCCAATCATGTTAGCCAGTGGCAACCATAAGCGCGAGCCTTGGGTTGTAATGATAAAGAAAAAGAGATGTTATTGAGTTTTTCTACCTGAACATTTGATTACAGCATTTGTATTGGTTTAAAAAGAAATATTACCAATATAATCGTTGGTAAGACAAAATATCTAAATCAAGCAATAGCAATATATAATATAACAGTCTATCCCTTCGGGAATCTCAAAGGTGCCTGATTCATATTCGGAACATATTCAGGTAATATGTAATTCCCTTTTGAAAATTTGAACGCCTTTAGGTTGTATGTTATTCCCGTTCAAAAGGAAATATCGATATCCGAGTTATCCATGAGCTTGTAATAAGCGCCTGGTATATTGACAAAAGCACACACACGAACGCTCTTCAGTGTTTGGCTCATTCTCGGAACATTCTAATAAAAGATGTTCCACTGTAAATGGAGTTTCACTTGCGTGGCATGAAGGTGGATCTTCTCGTTTTAACAGGTACGAATGAGTAGAATGTATGTGCCCAGTACGGAGCCGAGAGAGGACAACTTTCTCTCTACGCACTTTTCGACTGGGAACAGACGTTTTAAGTGTCGGTTGTACTTTAACAAAAAGTTTGTTGCTGGTCTCGAGACACTGGCTGGTCCACGTACAGGCTTTTTACATGTGTTGTTCGAAAAGCTCCAATGGCTAGACATAGCCCCTGGTTATGGATTGGGTCTAGCATCTGCAGGTAAGGACTGCGCGCCGACCCGTATACCATAGAACTATAATCCAGTTGTGTTTGAATAAGTGATCTGTATAGGCGCATAAACATGTCACGGTCCCCTCCCTAGTCAGTATGAGAAAGGACTCGTATAATGTTTAACACCTTGGAACACTTATCCTTCAGATACTTTATATGTGGTATGAAAGAGAGTTTTGAATCAAAAACGAGGCCGAGAAATTTAGTCTATTCAACAACAGGAATTCTAGTGCCATCAAGTGTAAGATTTGGGTCATTGTGTGATTTTTTTTTTGGAAGTTCTGGTAGGGTAAATGGTTCATTGAAACTTTCTTTCGTTGATCATTTGAATTTAAGACCTTTCTTTTTTCTTTTTTGCTTTAAAGACTGGAAATTTTGGGAGTGGTTTAAAGGGGATGACTTTAACTATGTTTTTTGCAAATGCATCTATTAATGAGGTGGGAGGATGTTGACTTTTTCTTTTTCCCACTTATTTTCCGAATCATATCCCATGCTTTTTGGAGGAAGTGTTTGATGATATCTAACCTTTTCTCTCCGGCTGTTTCTTTTGTCAATTTTAATTGATCGCCGAGCCTTTGCCCGCCAAATTTTAAAATCACTGTTGTTTGAAGCAGTTGGGCAATTCAAGTAGCGTCTTAGAGCAGCTGCCCGATTACTGCTTTTTTTTAAAGATTCTTCTGAAACTTCGTAGGTTTTTGACCGGATTTTGGGCAATAGAAGTGAGTGTTTCAATAAAAAAACTGATTGGGTCGTCGAGGTTTGTAAAAATGTCTGTGGTAAGCTTCTCGTTGCACAAGTGTTGGAATTGGACCCAATCTGCTTTGTGCACAGTCCATTGAGGTAGAGGATCATCAAGAGGAGTCCCAATATTCTTAAGAAAAATTGGGAAGTGGTCGCTCCCACAAAGATCATTATTTACCTTCCAGTCATAATCAAGTAGAATGGAAGGATGGCATAATGACAGATCAATGTGGGCACGAGAGCCCGTAGCAGGGTGTACATAGGTAGGGGTATTGATGGTAAAAAGACACAAGTTGTTTTTATCTATAAATTCTTCAATTCGTCTTCCTCTCTCGTCTGTGTTTGGAGAGCCCCACAGGATATACTGACCAATAAAATCACCTAGGGGTATGAATGGTGTTGGGAGTTTGGAGACGATGTTATTGAGTTGCTCACAAGTGAAAACAATACTAAGAGGAAGACGGTTATTTGTCTGTGTAATGTTGCACAGACAGCAACAGCCTGTAAATTTGTGTTTAACTTGATCATTCTGTGAGGAATATTTTTATGGACAGCTACAACTACACCACCTGCTGCTCTGCTACCTACTGTAGGAATGTTATTGTAGAGTTAGATTGGGTTTTTCAGCATGATTTCTTGTAGACAACCAAATGGCGGGGTTAAATTCTTTTGATAGATTCTGAAATTCTTCTATATTTGCCTTTAAACCGCGGATGTTCCATTGGATAATTGTATTATTCATTTTTTCTATTTTGACTGGATTTCGATGAAGTCAAAGCACGAAGCGCTGAGGCATTCGTCTCCATCTCATCATCGACATCCAGTAGGACATTCAAATAGGGCCCACCTGGCTATTTTAATTGTTTTTCTTTGGTCTGTTTTCTGGTGATGTTGCCTCTGACCTCAGTTGTGATCGAGGAACAGAAGAAAGTGGGCGAGATCGCTGTGAACGCATATGTGCCCTAGATGGGTCAAGTTTCGGAGGGTTTTCTCCTGATGAGAATTTTTTTTGGAAACATTGACTGTTGATAGTGGTGTCGTTTTTGGTTGTTTGTGAGGTTTGTTGTTGTTCGTTTAGGTCGTGAAATGGGATGGATCTTCCGTGAGGATCCTCAAATTATGTTGGACAGGCATGTCTGGAACTTGTGAGCCCAAGTCAGGTCTGTCCTAGGATACTTGAACCGAAGCATCCTTGACCGTGACACTGTAAAACCGGCGCCTTGATTCGAGTTACCTGTGTGTAAAAGGGTGCAGCAATATCTGCACTCTCGACTATCCTCCTGGTCCCGGGGAAAGAGACACTTTCGGTATGTTTAACCCGCAATATCTCTCTCTCTCGGTTCCAGGTAGGACAGTCTCGAGAAGAGGCAGAGTGCTTCCACAGTTGACACAGCGCAGGTTTGCGATGTCACAGTCACTTTGTTCGGTGTGACCCTCACGGCCACAATACTGGCAGACCGTTTCCCGTCTACATCATTTTTCGTGATGACCGTACGTCTGACAGTTTCGGCATCGCAATGGGTTTGGGATGTAGACGGAAACGTTGTACTTATGGTATCCGATTGTTTGGGGTAGTGTTGGTGATGAAAATGCGATGACGCAGGTGTTTGTTCGTATGGCGTCTTTGTTCTTTCCGGTCAACATCCGTCTGACCTCGGAGACCGGGACGCTCTTCTCCTGGAAATATGCCAGTATGTCGTCACCGGTGTCATTGCGCAAGGTTGGTCACCTGCTTACCCCTTTGCTGCAATTAAGTGATGAGTGTGGTTTCACACCGACACCGATGCCGGCAAAACTGGTTGTTCCGAGTCGGTTCTTCGCCTGTTGTTGACGATAAACTTCTATAAGTAGATAGCCCGATCACAGAGGCTTAACGGGTTTCACATCTCCAGCAATTCCCTTGATGCCCTTCCTTATCAGCAGAGGCGACAACGAGGCCGTTGTTTTGCTACTCTGTGAGGAGGACATCACAAGGAATTGCGGGAAATGCGTGTTTTGTGTTGTGTTTTTTTGTTGTATTTGAGCTTGAGCCCTCGTTGCGGTTTTGGGTTTGTCCGTCTTTTTGGTGATTTTTATTTTTTCCATACATGTTTTTGTTTGATTCGCCATCTGTAACACCACCCGCCACGGAGTCCAACAATGGGACACTGATATGACGCGGATGTCAGCGATACACAGAATAGTATACTCGTAAGAGTATACATACTATTTGTAAGAGCATACTCTCGCGATTGACCGTAAGTCACCGCCTTCTTGGTATAATGTATACCAAGGGCTCGATGTGATCAGCCGATTGATAGAGGGTCCATATCACCTTTCGTCCGAAGCCAAATAAGTATGTTGCAGAATGTCGGATCATGTCTCCCTCCTATCCAGAGTTTGTCAGTGATTCCGACCACTGCTCAACTACCAGGATCTTCTACCCCCAGGAGTACGAGACGCAACCCACGGCAAACAGGTTGGCTCAAATTGGAGCTACTGTGAAAACCTTCTGCTACGTTGACACCCAGTGCGCGACAATCCCCCCCCCCCCCCGGAAAATGGTCAGACTTGAACAAGAGCCTCAAAAATCATTTGTCCATCCGCCTTTAAGGAGAACCATATACAAAAAGTGACTATGCCTTTACCCGTGATACTCCGTAACTAAAAGGGTTGTGCTTCATGTTTATGATATAAGGTTAAGATATATTTACATTGCCTTTTACGGTTAGGATCTCTTAACCCCGTAAGGCTAGGGTCTCTTTACCATGCCATATACGACTATAATCTCTTTACCCTGCCACTAAAGGCTAAGATCCCTTACTTTCTACTTTAAGATAAAGATCGTTGTACCCTTCCGTATTAGACTATAATATTTTAATCCTGCTGTATAAGGACATTATCTCTTCAACCTACCATATACATTCAATATTTCTGCATTCATCTTTATGGAGTATTCTTTTAGAGGCTTCTTTAGAATGTTTGAATAAAAAATATACTGCGTATTCCCCTTTTGCACCGAGAGAGGCATTTCCTTGCATTAACAGTAGGCTGATAAATCAATGAGTTATTATATTTGTTTTCGCAAGAGTTATACCCAGGTTATGTCAGAAAACATACACGGAAATGATAATTAAATTTAAATGTTGAGCTCATTTTAAGGATTTTGACAATGTTGCGGCGCTTTCTGAGTTATGGAAAAAATGCATACATTTTATCCCAAGTAGCTCTTTTTCAAATGCAGTGGACAATTTGCAAAAACTGGTCTTCTTTGTTACCATTGATGACTCACATTTGAATAGTACACCAAGTCTTCCTTCTCATTGGTTAAATAGGTATCCACCTTAAATTCATCAGCCAATCGCAACAACCGGTTTTGGGTAGGTCCTACATACGACCCTCCTAGATCCACATAATTCACTTTGTCATTCTGAAATCAAAACATCAATGAGGCATTGATATCACTGAGCCAATAACAAAGTGATATTGAATTAACAAATGTCTATCATGCATTCGAACACATATTGGTTAGGTAGGTAAAGTTTTTTTGTCACCATCAATTGCAAGCGATTGATATTTAAAACATCGAATTAAAAACTGTTTTATTTCATTTTGCCGAGGAATGGAATGTTTTAGGATATCTGACGTCCAAACAATACTAGTCATTGCACTCACAATACATGTACATTTTACTAAGATAAATCAACGGAAACTCATTCGGATTTTATGTGCATTGGAAGACCTTGCCGAGTGAATCGCCACGGAAGCGGTTTTTATTGTTCATCAACCCCCAGTAACCAGAACTGCGATAATATAGATGATATCTGTTCACTACAAGAGCGTTAGTACATGTATTTGTTTTGCAAGGAAGTAACGTTTATTCAAAATAACTATTTGAAAGTACTTTTGAAAAGAAAGGAAACGTCTACGTTGAATTCACTTACATGTTCAGTGAACGTGCGTCCCCCGACTCGATCTCTGGCTTCCAACACAAGAACACTGAAACCTGTCTCATCCAGCAGTTTTGCCGCAGCCAAACCTACACCAATTAGAGGATATATAGATATTAATAGACATTTACACCTTGTCAACGCACGCCTCTCACATCATGTTCCAATTGGCATTATAAAAATCGCTTTTCATCAAGGTGCCCTTTTTACAATAAAAATTCCTGAATCAATTGCTATATTTGTTTTTTATTCTTTCTTCAATAGTAGCTTTGTTGAATGAAATATAGCATTTTTACAAGGTAATAATAGTTAATACAGTTATGGTTATGTTTGAAAGTTGAATGAGTAAACTACGTGTATATATGAGTCAGTGGTTTGTAATTTGTTGTGTAGTAGGTGTAGGTCATGTTATGACATAGCTGTGTATAAGAGAAGGATTGTTACGGCATAACTGCGTAATTTTAGTAACGTGCGGCCAATCAGAGAGGGGGAGGAGCGCGTGAGAAGCCGATGTCAGCAATGAGAATGCAATTTGTGTGCGTATATAAGGTAATGAGAGTGAGAAATAGGAGAGAATAGCATTATTTTATACTAACTCCACGTTGGTTTATACCAGGGAAATTATCGTACGATTTATCATGTACGCGTACAATATTATGGGAATAATCTGATGGAGATATATTTGTGGAGTAATGTGAGATAAAGTGTTTGATTCTGAGCGGACTATGTATGAAATTACATGATAGCATCGATGTGTAAATAACATTATGTAAACTTGATAGACTTTGTTTGATTTATCCCTTCCGTAGTCGACTTCCATCAGCAAAAAAATGCGTTACACCAATTTCAGTTCAAATATGTCAAATCTACATGGTAGCAGAAACGGTCTCTAATAATCTTCCCCTATTTGTAATATAAGGCCATCCCCCTTTGCTCTTAGAGGCGACACATCCTTCATTCTGAAATAATATGACAACGGGTCTCTTCATCACAATAGCATAATTCAAATCACTTCATCTATACCTACGGAATAGTCTTTCAAAGTTTGACACCTCTTTCCGCATTTATAAACATGAAATAGACGCCGGATGCCACTCCTAGATAATTGCTCCGTACATTTTTTATTTTGATTTAATTCCTATTTGGTAGTGCAAAGATTTCTACTATATGCCAGTTGTAGCTCATTTCTTTATCAAACATCTCAGCGACCAAGGTATTGAAGACCAAGGCTAGGATTTGGTGTCTTATCAATACAGATATAATTAACACTTTTCAAGTCAATGAAACTGTCTGCATTCTAACACATCATCCAGTTGGTGAATGCTTAAACACTTGAACAAGAACGAATCTCAGTAAATCTAGTCTACAAAACTGTTACAAGTACATTGTATTTATAATGTATCAATGCAATAGTGAGCCCAGGGATATATTGTCTTTCAGAGGACAATCCTGGTTTTTTTTTCAGAGAGCATCTCTGATAGGTGAAGCTATATGTAATAGGGTTACCCTCAAACTGAACCTTATTTTATTAAACATACATGGACATAAAAACATAAATGCTTAATTGTTTATTACACATGGACACCAAATATGTTTAGGTATGAAAGGTTGCGCGCATTCCTAGCTGAACAAACTAGGACATTCATTTGACGACCTTAATCAGATATGAAGCGTAAGGTGCTCCCTTTTTTGTATAAATATTATATCTCATTAGTACATTCATTTTTCAATCCAAAAAACATTTGGTTTTAAAGAAGGGGTGTTTATTTGTATAAATACGGTATTACAAAACCTCCCACTTTACGATATTGACATTTCCAGCAGTAATTTGTCGAAATGTTCAGCTACAATTCACTAGCCACCGTATTAAGCGAGTCCCTATATGTCAATCAGGTATTGACAGGAAAAGACTAAATTTCTTCACAAGAGAAAAAAAATGAAGCTTCATTAAGTCAGTGCTTGGGGGAAAATCAATTTACTGACTAGCGAAATAGCACAGGTCTTCCCCTGTTAGGTCAGACCAAGCGATGGATGTGTTGTCTAGCTTTACTTTGGTACAAGTGGATGAAAGATGTCACGGAGTCATGACAGTTGATCTTAAATACAAAAGAAATTGCAGAAAGTAATAAATAGAAGGGTTCCGAAAAGTGGTGTGATTTAAGTACAGTTTAATACAGTTTACAAGCGCTTGAGAGTAATTTTACAAATTATATAGGGCGTTATATAAATGTTGTATATATTGTTAATGGACATTTTATCAAAGCACTGAAACAATATTTACTCCAAACTTCTGACAAACAAAACATTATTTACAATAAGGCATATATTTAATGACAAATAGAATACAATAAAAGGTATATTTATTGAGTTCATGTTAACTGATACCCGTGTAGGCTCAGGACAGTAGTAAGCCTGCCGTATCTTACTACGTGTCGTAGAGTAAGAGGCGACTAATGTTGGGGCTATAGAATCGGGGGATTTCTTCCATTCCTACTGCTTAGAGGCAACGAAGAGATCAACATTGATCTGCTGCCGCCATTTCAACAGTTTTAGTACATCACATGATACTTTCTATTGGATAACTACCATTGTTCTATTGAGTATAGTAAGCATCCGCCCTTGACAACGGAAACTATACCTGAAAACGAGCACTATACCTTTTTTGGACCGCTGGAACTGCGGGAAAAGTAGCGTGACGCTAAGAGTTGCACCCCTTCTACTAGGGAGAGCTGTACATATTCTACTTTCACTTCATTGTTGTCGTCTGCCAAAATGGCTTCGAGATTCGGAACCAGGAATGCCGATTGTTTCGCAGAGGCTCAGCAATGAATAAAGACTAAGCAGGCGACACAATTTGCCGTCGCAGTTCTTAAAGACTTCCGACTAGAGAGGGGAACCGTATGTGACCTAGTGGTAATTCAATCCGGTGAATTGAACGGTGTTTTGGTGGATTACTATGCTAGTATACTCAACATAAAAGGAGAGATCTACTCAAAAAGTTCTCATCAGCGAAGGTTTGCGGCGGCATTTACAAGAACCATCATGTGGCAGAGATTTCGACATTCCATTGTTTTTCACCTCTTTTCTAATATTAGAAATTGTACTGTTACAATTAACAACAACTCGTGAATCAAAACTTCAAATGTTGCATTCATTTCCAGCTGTTGTTATTTATTAATGAAGTTTCTATCAAATACATGTATGCTGGAAGCCATGTAGAGAGCGTATATAGGCAAAGCCTGTTGCTCGATACTTGTTTAATCAATAAAATACATTTGAAATGTTAACAATGAAGTTCCTCATGTTTGTCTTTTCATTGTTAAATGATAGTCATATGATGTAATAAATCTATTATGACCCTTTCCCTCGGGAACAGTTCTTTTAAATTGTCGCCTGGGGAGGTATAGTGCCCTCGCCTAACGGCTCGGACACTATACCTCCCCGGACGACACTATAAGAGAACAGTTCCCTCGAGAAAGGGCTATAATAATAATCTATGTCTCCCCTCTCTATGCTTTCTTTCTTATCTCGGTATTTCCATAGGCAACCATCTTCATACATGTATGACAATGGCTATTGCGAGGCCGTTAAAACCCAAACAAACAAGCATTTTAAGTGGTAAAGGAAAAACATAGCAATTAATGTTTGAAAGGAAGAAGCATATTCTAATCAGGAGCATACTTGTTTGTAAGGTCATCATTTTTGCCAGTGGTTTGTTTTGCTATTTTGAATAGATAATGTGCTATGAAGACTATCTGTACAGGTGATAACAGCCGAATACCAACTGTAATGTGATAGCTTGACATGGTAACATGACAACCCACCACGTTCCGTATTAACACACTAATTTTATCGGGATACCAGACCTATTCTTATATTTTCTGTGGAGCATGGAGTGAGTACAGAGACAATGATTTGTCCTAGAAGTCGCCTCTTATGATCATGACATAGGATGCATCAGGTTAATTACGTGTTAGCGCCCACCTCACTGCAAATGGCATCTAGAGTGGGTACCTTACCATTGTACTTAGACCAAGATATGAGAGAGATATGTAAGGAGAGGTATTGTTTAGCAATACTTGTTTTATGCTTAAATGGATAGATGGGATAGAGGTTAACCTAATAAAACATACAGATAGATAGGATAGAGGTTAACCTAATAAAACATACAGATAGATAGGATAGAGGTTAACCTAATAAAACATACAGATAGATAGGATAGAGGTTAACCTAATAAAACATACAGATAGATAGGATAGAGGTTAACCTAATAAAACATACAGATAGATAGGATAGAGGTTAACCTAATAAAACATACAGATAGATAGGATAGAGGTTAACCTAATAAAACATACAGATAGATAGGATAGAGGTTAACCTAATAAAACATACAGATAGATAGCCATAGCCTCCTAATAAAGGACAATACATTACGGAAGACAGTTATCGGATTATGAATGACCTGCTAAAAAGAGGGCATTAAACACATACATTATGAAAGTCGAAGAACGGAGAACAACGTATTGAGAAAGTCTGGGAATGTATGTAAAAAAGTCTTGGAATGTGTGCACAATAGTCTGGGAATGTTTGAAGATCAAATCGACTGCCGTTATTTATAGCCGAAATTGTGTTAATATAAAGTATAGAAAGGGGTTGAAATAAATTTTTGACTGCCTGCCGATAAAATCTGTTTGTGTAGTCAGTACTCACGTATCATAATGGAACTGCATGTTTATGGAACTAGCAATATGAACTCGTGCAGGTTTTGGAAATGAATAGGCCTGCTGTATCAAACTGTATTATCGTAAGAGGGGACAAATATGTCCCCCTCGCCATCTTCAAATTCGGGGGTGGTTTCTTCTTTGTTTTCTTTTAAGGATATATTGGTTGAGTAACCGAGAAGAAACCTGTTGTATCCTACTGCATGTGTATCATAAGAGGCAGCTTATGTGGGACCTTCAAAATCGATCGGGGATATTCATCCGTGCTCTCTACAAAGGGGACATACAACAGACCAAATTTGATATGCTGCCTCTATTGCAACACTTTAGATCTTTTTCGTTTCCAAAAATTCCCGTCTTCCTTCTTTTCTATCTACTTTCTGTTCATGCGGTGTCTTCCTAGACAACCGTCCTTATATGACCCTCGCGAGGACGTTAAACCACAAACAAACAAACCCACTAGGTACACATCTCTATATGATACGGTGGAGATTCAGATCTGTCTAGTTAATCTACTTTGATAAATGCATTTTGTACACACACACACACACACAAGTAGAAGCACACACATACAGAAATGTACCGTGTCACGTAACAATTGACCTTAATGTTTGTAGAACACGATCAGATGACAGGTTAAATTCTATCAATGCACCATATTTATACAATGACAGCTGTTACAAAGCGAAGTGTATTATAAAGCCACAAATCTGTCGATCTATACGAGTAATAAATGTTTATCTCACCGCTGAGGCCTGCTCCAATTACGACCACGTCCACTTGGCTTGCTGTCATCCTTATCACTGTGTGTGACAGGAAACCGCACGAGAGACTTATCGTAACAACATCGGTACTCCTCTACGTTTTCCCTTTTGAATGTAGGATATTACTATATATCGATCCGATGTATTGGCCAACAGAGCGGCATCGATTGTTCATCATGGGTCTGTATCTCATGCCATGTTCAGCTTCTATACATTTACAAAAAAATCGTTGGACCTGTACACTTACCGTTAGACTCTTAAATAAAATCCATGTTTTATGAAAGTATTTTATTTGATAATGTCAGTATTTGTTGATTGATACTTATCAGGTCAGAGAACAAAACTGATATTAGTAATTTTTGTTTGAAAAATAGAAATTCGTTTAAAAATATTTGAAACTAAGTAAATATTATATTAGAATATGATAAGAATATGCTTTGAAATTGTGCACATTTTTGTCTTCATTCGTGAATTATCTGTAACATGAATGCTGTAATGATACATAAAACAAATGTAATCTTCAGTTGAGTCTTGCATATCCTTCATGTCTCGTATGATTAACACTCATTGAAAGGATTACAGAATACGGAGTCTTATTTCATTTCCCGATTTTATTTTTCAAATAGAATGGCCATGGTTTATCATAGTATCAGCTTCCTGTGTGTTAGACTGTTGTAGAACGTATACAGACATGTCATCTGACAGTACCTGCACTTTGGCATATAAAATCAAATCTTGTCCAATAACATCTACGTATAAATGTGAGTCATTTAGGGCCAACAACACCGTAAACAGATTCATTCACGAAAACATGTTTTGGTTGTAGGTCAACGGCTGCTTTAGCAGCTTTATCTATCTTCTCATTTCCGTTTATTCCGACATGACCTAAATTTCGGTGAACTATTTTAAGATATGCAGAAAATGTATTGCAAGTAGAGCGTTAATCATCAGAAACATGCTGTTTCTAAGATATTGTTAGGAAGTTAAAAATTAAGATAGTGTTTATCTATTATTGATAGATCCACAAAAAGAAATATGGATTAATACGTTTTGCATTGCTTTCACCATTTCTGGCTAGTATATACACATTACAAGTGATTTGGAAATATACAGAAACCGTTAACAAATATAAACATTAGCAAGATGCCCGAGCGCCTTATCGCTCACCTGGATATCTAAGCAATCATTGCAAAATAGTTTCCAAAAAAGATCACAGGAATAAGGCCAGACCAAAAGGTCATTCCTTGTAGCATATCTGTATTAGATTGTTCAAGCCCAGCAATTGTATGTGGTTATGGGGTGGGCGCTCAACTGTTTCCAAGTTGTGACACAGAAACTAGGTCCCAAGGGTTGTGGCCAGACCCCGGGGTCGATGCTAATACCATGATTTCGTTCGTCTCTTTATGCCCACCTATTGTATACTTAGCTTTAAGGTGGGTGTCTCAAACGTTTCAAAGTTATGACCCAGGGACTAAGTTCAAAGGGTGGGATCAGACCCCAGGTCAATTCTAGAAGCATATGTGCAATCATCACTTTATACTCAGCAATTTTATATATAGTTATAGGGTGGCAATCTCAACCATTTCAAATTTGTAAATTATTTAAGGTACAATCCCTTAGCCCGGGTGTCAGCCTGTCGATTTGTACAAATGGTAACTCCCATCACCTCGGTATGTGTCCAACAAAATATAGTTGATATCCATCTTCATGTTCCAGAGAAGAAGTTGTATAAAGCAATATAGCCAAATAATCCTTTTTGTCCCACCTCTCAGCTTTCTGACAATTTTGAATGTCCTAAATTGCTTCCAGTTAAAAATTGTAGATAGTCATCACCTAATCCATACAAGAAATAAGCAATATAGTCAAATTGCCTTTTTTGGCCCCGCCCCTAAGGCCCCTGAGGGTCAGCCAACATTTTTTAAAAAACAATTTGAATCCTTACCACCTAGGGATGCTTCCAACCAAATATTGTTGATATCTATCTCTTATTACCAGGAAAGTCGATTAAAGCAATATATAGCCAAATTACACTTTTTGGCCCCGCCCTCGGCCCCCTGGGGGACCAGCCATTCCATTTGTACAATTTCGAATTCCCCTCTTAGGGATGCTTCCAACCAAATAATGTTGATATCTATCAGATATTTCCAGAGAAGAAGTCTATTATAGCAATATATAGCCTAATAACACTTTGACCCCGCCCTCAGCCACCACCACCACCACCTAGGGATGCCTTAAGTTAAATACGAGGTCGTTTGAAGGACTTGTTGACGTGCGGACGACGGCCGACACAGTACGGCATAAGCCAACCTTGGTCCTTCGGACCCGTCGAGCTAAAAATCAATGCTCGTGACTCTGATATAAAGCTCAAGGTTATTCTTGATACTGAATTGAATAGTCCTCGTCTTTATCTGAATATTATTTGCTTTAGTACAGACGGTCCCGATATAGGCCTGTCTATACCTGCTGAGAGTAAGAACGTAATACATTAGATAACCTTTGAACTGTCACGTAACCACGGAAGACAGGGACATGGGTCATGCAGTACTTTTTAGATTTTGAGGACTGATCGGATGTTACACGGTTGTCCAACAACATACATACGTTGTGTACAGTTATATGTATTATTTATAGTACAGCTAATATAGTTACACAATCTAAATAAAGTTCTTTGTTCGTCACAGCAACAGAAATGAATAAATGGATTTAATAATAAAAATAGAATAAAATAGGCAGACAGGTTTATGTCTTTCTTAATCAGTTTTGTTATAAAGTTATCAAATATGTATTTAAAAATGCATTTAAACTGATTAAATTGTCAAAGACATGGGTATGGTCATGTATGGTTATCTTGTTAGAAATTGCACTTTTCAATTCCATGACGCCGTATATAAATCCTCTGGGTCAGGTGCTGAGCACTTAGACCACTGTGGTACATGTAGCATATGTGTAAACTCTTAATGCCTAGCTATTGCATTGTATAGCGCTGGCGCCTCTTCTAGATCTGTTGACATTTCATAAATCATTTTTGTTCAGCAGAACGACGAGTAATCGCTCTCGAATGAGAGTATTAAATGTCCTATATGGTGTGAATATATGATGCAAAAAACATAGTGTGCATATTTTTTTAACAATCATCTATGATACAAACATTCTACATTCGGGAGACCTGGGCATGTTTTGCCACCCGTGGTATTTATAACTTAAGGATATTTGCAGTTTTATTGGCTGGGCATTCACACGGAAAAAGGCGACAAAAACTCAAATATAAAGTTACTGAACATAAAAAGTTACCTTTGAGAGGAAAGAAGGAACATCATGACCTCGCTTCTGTCTAGTTATGAGAGCTTTCTGTAAACGGAATTGCTACTTATTTGCAATCATTTGACGGCTTTAAATTAAAAACACAAAAGCCCAGCCTAGCACTTAGTATCGTATTGCAACCTGATTCACAGGGACCTGCTTGACTTGCACATTTTTTTGTCAAATATTTCAAAAAATACAATAATCTGCAGCTTTTTTCCTATCGGACGAAACATAAACTTATATTACATATTTGATATCCTCTGTCTGAAATTGGGTAGTAGATCTATTGGCTGTATCCTTTTATTTCATTTATTAAGTAATCGGTGTGTATGTTTACCAGGCGCGTGCTCACTATTTATATCTAAGTTTTCAAGTATCTGTGTCTTCAAGCGTCCACGGCACCTAGATCGTGATGAGTCACATCAACCATGTGTTTTGATGAAAACTGCGTGTGTGTGTATGTAATTATTGTGTTGTGCTTGTCCTATATTTATTATACAGCCATGCTCAACCGGAATCGATATATCGCGTTAAGAAAACTATTCAGCAGCTGGAAGATCAACAGAACCTACTAAGTCATCATCTTATTAATCGACAACGGGTAATTTTAGTGTAAAATTCGTATGGTCTAAATCTGATCTCTGGCTGTTTTTTAGGTTATTCAAAGCGCATTTTCTAAATCTATACCTTGGCTCTCACTTCATTAGTATAATACTTGATAACAGATCTGTATATTTTGATAACATATGTTTTCTTCTGACTTCACATTTTGTTGTGCTAACTTTGTGTGTTGATATTGAAAGTAATCCGGGGCCAGTACAAAATATAAACTTGGTTCATTTTAATGTATGGTCTCTCAGAAACAAGACAGCCTTGGTAGAAGCAGAATTTGAGGATAATGATAAAGTCTGTATAACAGAATCTCATTTAAACCCTTCAATATCTAACCTTGACATTCAGATGCACTCCTTCAATTCCAATCCTCATAGAAAAGATAGAACTACTGGTCCGGGGTGTGGGGTTATAGTTTATCACAAAGATATTATTGTTATGAATAGGCGAATGGACCTAGAAAAGGATGATGTTGAACTTATATGGTTAGAAGTATTAGTTAATAATCATATATTTCTTCTTGGATGTTTATACAGACCAGCAAGTAATGTTGAATACTGGAATAAATTAGATAATACGTTGACCAAAGCCACAGATACTTCACTGGATGTGGTACTGACAGGTGATATCAATATTGATATGTTAAATCATCCGTTGAATGATCACTTATCAACACTCCTTATCAAACATAATTTACTTAGTCTTATTAATGAACCCACAAGAATAACACCTGACATCCATTGATATTATCTTTACTAATAACCAAAACATAGTTAAAAATACTCATGTATCTCCACCATTTTGCAGTGATCACTCCTCAGTACATGCTTCAATTTCTTATTCTGTATTTTAAAAAAGCTATAAACAAGAAAACGCAGCAAAGCTGCTGGACACCAAACCTGTTTATGAAAATGACTTACTGACAGTCCATCAACCACGAGAGAACGAATCCTGCATACTTGAATCTATTTAATCATAATCATATAAATAGATGACATTAATTGTGTTGTTCAGAATAATCCGTTCTCGCTCAATATCTAGTTTTAACCGCACGTTTGGGCCAAATGTCAATGATTTGGCAATAACGTCATCTTCTGAGAGAGAGAATCCGGGACATAAGACGATTTACATAAAAGATCCTTCACACCTTTTGTCAAAATTGCAGC